ACAAGAGCAGGCCGTTCAAGTCCAGCCTGTCTGGTAGTAGTTTTTGAAAGCCAGGGTATCAGCTGACACCACGGCCGGAATGGGGCTGATCTCACAAGCCTTAGTTAAACTTTTGTGACTGTGCTTCCAGTAGTGCACCAGAGACTATTTACTCCACGTCAACTCTCCTGTAGAAACCCAATAAAACAAGGGCCGCATCATGGTCTTTCGCGCAGGGAATATGTTCACGTTGAGACTGCGGAGCCTGTCTTCATCAAGAGGATGCTCTTATTCTTCAAATTTGTCTTTCAGTCACGTGACCTTCCTCAACGCGCACATCTTTCCAAACTGCTGCTCAGCTGTCACCTTTTCTTACTGAATCTAGTGCGTCAATTCAACACAGGTTTTTTTGGCTTCGTATCTCCAATGCATTACAATATAATGGGATAGAAAAATATGGAACATATGTGGCAACTTTGTCCATTTAGCCCTTCAAAGCTTCCCATTATCCTACCCACTGGCTGACATCATCGGTTCCCTGGCCTGTTTTGAAAAGACTGTGACATGAATAACAATAATTAATAATAATAATTGCTTACACTTATATAGCGTTTTTCTGGACACTCCACTCAAAGCGCTTTACAGGAAATGGAGACTCCCCTCCACCACCACCAGTGTGCAGCCCCACCTGGATGATGCAACGGCAGCCATAGTGCGCCAGAACTCATGACTAAACCACACATCAGCTATTAGCAGAGTAATGTAGCCAATTCATAGATGGGGGTTATTAGGAGGCCATGATTGGTAAGGGCCAATTGGAATTTTGGCCAGGACGCCGGGGTTACACCCCTACTCTTTTCGAGAAACGCCCTGGGATTTTTAATGACCACAGAGAGTCAGGACCTCAGTTTTACGTCTCATCTGAAGGATGGCGCCTTTGTACAGTATACTGTCCCCGTCACAATACTGGAGCATTAGGACCCACATGGACCGCAGGTTGAGCGCCCCCTGCTGGCCCCACTAACACCTCTTCCAGCAGCAACCTTCGTTTTTCCCAGGAGGTCTCCCATCCAGGTACTGACCAGGCTCCCACCTGCTGAGCTCCAGATCACGCCGAAGGATTTGGCTCTTTTGCCATTGGGGACCTACCTGAGGTGATGACACAGTCCACTTCCCTGGTCTCCGACGTGCTGATGTAGAAATCGGGTCTGGACGCCTCCAGCTTCTTGTCATAGCACGGCATTACCGTCACGTGGTAGATCTGCTCTGGGCTCAGGCCCTGCGGAGAGAGAGGGGAGGCCCCCCGAGATCACACAGGGCACAGCACGAGCAGCGACTTGGCTGTCACGTGCCTGCACCCACTGTCCCACTGCTTACGTCTTGGGCATTTGTATGAACTTATATTGTAATAGTGTAAATGTGATTCAATTTCAGGCAATTAAAAGAGAATTTCCCATAAAACCCATTTTTGGCAGAACACTGGCCATCCCGATGAAAACATACAATACTGAAAAAGCCCAATACAGTATATAAAAACTGAAACAGTGGCAAACAAATGAACAGCTCTTGAAATAAAGTTCATAAATAAGCAATAAAATATGCATAACTGATCTTTAAGTGTGTTGAACAGTGTACTTTCCACTACAAAGCCACTGCACTTTTTGAAGAGAAGGCATCCTAAATCGCTGATATTTCATTTCGCGGTTTCACTGCATTGTTTTTTTTTTATGGGGGACTGAGATGGGTGCGTTTGCGCGACGGGGTGTTTCACAATCAAGCCCTCGACGCGCGTGAAGGAGCGTGCAGCCCCAGTGTTGTGGTCAGGCGATGGGGGCCTCTGTGGCCCCTGCGCACTACCTGCTGGCTGGCAAAGTAGTCTTTGACCAGGGAGCCCATGACCTGCTGCGGCGAGCGGGTCGTGCTGATGTAGGGGATGACAAAGTCGCCGTGAGTCTTCTCCGCATAACAGATCCAGCCTGCAAAAGTCCACGCCCAGCACAGAAACGAAAGTTCTGTCAAATCAAGTGAATCTAGCATTTGTCAGAGCAGAGGGTATCGGCAGTATCCCGGTGTGGGGCTGAAGGGAGGGCTGGGCCCTGGTGTTTCAGATCAGCGCTTTCAAACACTAATAGTTTCAGCCCCTTTCGGGCACTGTGGTGATCGGACCGCACGGTGAAGCCGAGCTGCTCGCTGCCAGCAGAGCAGGTGGGGTACCTGGACAGGCGGAGGTCAGCATGGGCAGGGCGGTCCTGTCCTGCTCCTGGCGGGAGAACCGCTCCACAAACTCCTTCTGGCTCTCCAGCAGGCTGAAGGTCCTGCTGAAGGAGGTGTCGAACACGTGATGCACACCTGCAGCAACAGCACACGTTTCAGCACCCAGGACAGACATGCAGAGAGTGTGTCAAGATACCACTCAGCTTTCCCCAGCTTTAAGCGATACCCAAACACTGTTTTTAGACCAACATGCTGAACTGTCTTATTGTCTATCTGTTTAATTCAGTTCAATTCAACTTTATTTGTCATTATACTTACACAGGTGCATAGTATAATGAAAAGTGTTTCTCATTAGTCACTGTGGTGCAGTATACACAGAACAGCAGACAAGACAACAGACAGTAAATACAATAACAATATAAACAACAAGTATGGTACCGGTATGACAGTATCCATATCTGTTAAGAACTGTGCAAAAGTACACAAACAGTGCAAAATAATACAGCGTTATCAAATAGTGCAACTCAATCAAGTGCAGTTTTATGTCCAAGTTCAGAGTTATGGTGTATGTAGTGGTGTGGGAGTACAGTCGTTGTGTGGTCACAGGAAGAAGTGAGGAGAGATCATGGTTTGGTGGGTGGGAGTTGGGGAGGTCACCAGCTTGATGGCTCTGGAGAAGAAGCTATTTCGGAGGCTTGCTGTTTTGTTTTATCTGCCATTATTACACAATCTGTACCAAAATCACTTGCCTTCGGCCCCGGTGCTATAAATAAAGGCACAGGCATACTGATATGCCAGGGAGTACAGATCAGATTAACCATAACTAATCCAACTGAAAAAAAGAAAAATGACTTTTATGATCTCCTGATGCCATTAACTGGATGCTCATCCACACTGATGAGCACAACCCTGTGGCCTGCTGGTCTGTCCGCTTGCTCACCCAGGTTCTTGAAGAAAGACGTCAGCCTCCTCGCCGTGTCCGAGCTGCTCAGGTTGAAGTGGGCAGCCAGGGACGCCCTGGACTGGGGCGACACGGAGACCACCACCACCTTCTGCGGAGCACCCATCTGCTGTGAGACAGAGATCATGTCCAACCTCAGTACGGGTCCCATTCCCGGACAGCACAGTTCTGCTGGGCCCAGAATATCATCCACCCCAGCTTAGACTGGAACCCCTTCACACACTGAGGGAGCAGATCCCTCAGATAATCAGCAACTTTCGAATGAATTAGACAGGCACTACGAATCACTTGCAGTGGATCAGATGCTGCTGTAAACTTTATCTCAAAAAGCAAGAGTCCTAGAAATCCAATTCCTATGGAAAAACACAGACCTCCCTCTCTAACATGAAATATTTTTAGTCTTTTTTTCTGTTCTTGAAAACTGAAAAATGATGCCACATTCTGAATATGAATGACTGAAGTTGTTGTACGATTTTATTGTAAGCACAGCAGTTCAGCGCTGTGCATTTGTCTTTTTAAGGCGTAAATCTGTGGTCAGGTGAGAACACAAAACAAGCTGGTTAACTGGCACTCCAGACCTACTGCAGTACCTAAACAGCGCCAAGCTGGACCCAGAAATAATAATTCACCATGGCTTTGCAAGCTGGCGAAAAAATTGAACATTCAGAAATAAAAATGACGTGTTTGAATTATTTTTTGAATGACCAACTACTGCATGTACTTTGAGTCCTACGGTTTTCATTACAGTCTTGTAAAAGTCCAGAACCTCTATCTTGTCTCTTAAGCCCTTCCATCTCTGCAGCTGTGTGGCAGGTGAGTGGGGCATCTTCTCCAAGACGGCTGTGTGCTCCTGCTTCCTTATTCCTGTATTAAAGGCCTTTGGCAGCCGTTCTGTAAAATATGTAGCTCTCAGACCCTCTCAAAATCTAGTCTCACAGCCAGAGGAAAGTAAGAAAAACGAGAGGAGGCCTTTCAGCCCATCTAGTTAAAAGCAGATCCCAGAAATCTCATCCTGCTGTTTCTTGAAAGACACCATGGTATCCACTTCAACAACACAGTAGCCGATTCCATACTCCCACTACTCTTTGTGTAAAGATGTGCCTCCTGTTCTCATTTTAAATGCAATTCCCTGAAATGTCCTTTTGTGCCCACTGATTCATTTGTTACTGCATGGCACGGGTGTGGGCGTGCGCGCGCGCTGTGGGGAACCTTGTTGTGCTCCAGGGCCCTGTACAGCTCCTCGTGGCTCTGCTGCGTGATCAGGACGCTCTCCGCGGACGTGATGCAGCCGCTGCAGGCCAGGCAGTCGTTCAGCGTGATCTTCGCTTTCTCCAGCTTCTGCAGCCCACCATCCTGCCCAGAAACACACACACAGATGGGCAGCGTTACGGTCTGGGCAACCCAGGTAACCCAGGCAACCGGGTTACCCAGGTTACCCAGACTACCCAGGCTACCCATGGCCCGGCCACACAAGCCCTCAGGCAGCTCAGGCTGGCTGACACCATAATTCCAGAAAAGATCTCTACTTAAAACAAAGAGAAGATGCATTTCTGTTTCTCAGGGTCAGTCAAAATCCCCAACGACGGCAGCTTTGCATTATTGTCTTCGCAGCCCAACATCAAATCTCTAAACCTCCTCTCATAATGAGCAGGATTACTGTGGCATCAACACAGCCCCATCGCCAGACTAATTAATTCACTTACTGCTTGAAGGAGTGAAAGTAAAGAACCTCTTGTACTTGCAGGATTATAACTCGCCAACTAACACACAGCCGTCATATGTGAAATTGGTCTTCCTTTAAAATTGGTCTCCTCACCTGGTTAACCTGAAAGTAGCTCCCATCGTCTTCGATTTTAATTTTGGCCACCGACTTCCCCCGTTTCTTCTCAACCTTCACCGGCTTAACGCACTCCTGAGGTATTCACAAAAAGAGGCAAGGCCAGAGCTCAGAAAAACTCAACAACCAGGAAAAGCCAGCAGCCACATCACTCTGCAACTCACAACTGGCAACCCACTGAAGCTCAGCAGGTGTGAGCCTGGCCAGTACCTGGATGGGAGACCTCCTGGGCCATCATGGCCTCCTAATAATCCCCGTCTATGAATTGGCTTCATCACTCTGCTCTCCTCCCCACTGATAGCTGATGTGTGGGGAGCGTTCTGGCACACTATGGCTGCTGTTGTATCATCCAGGTGGGGCTGCACACTGGTGGTGGTGGAGGGGAGTCTCCATTACCTGTAAAAGCGCTTTGAGTGGAGTGCCCAGAAAATCGCTATATAAGTGTAAGCAATTATTAATGATTATTATTATTAAAAGTTTGGACAGTTTTTGAGCCGCTCGAGGAGGGGAGCTGTGCCGGCAAAGACACACGCCTGTCACACCTGAAGACTGAAGCTGAAACATTCCTGTTCCTCTTCTTCCTGCGTGTCAGTGAGGAACAAGCCCTGACTTGTTGGTTTTTGAAGCTAGAGCCAGGGAGCAAAGCCCTCAGTTGAGTGAGAGTATAACTGCCTGATACCCATGGCGTTACCTCACCCTCTGCACATCTCTGAGAGGGAGGTGCCCTCTGCCCAGGACCTCCAGGCGTGAGCTGTGCCAAGTGGGTTCAGAGTTCCCGGCCTGCTCCAGCCCTGCTCTGACTCTTTCAGGCCCTTCCCCCCCCAGTCAGGAAGAGCGAGCAGTGGGCCAGCCTGAGGCAGGAGGGTCCTGAGCTTTCCTCTGCCACCAGACTCTGGAGGATGTGCAGCTATCCCTCTCACAGACAGAGTACAGGGTCTGACCTGCACAGTGTAACTCTCTGGCGGCACAGAGATACCGAGTCATCTCTGGGCAGCACACAAGAAGTGTCTTATCACTAGACTCCAGGCTTTCGGGGCAGTTAACCGCTGTGAACAGGGGCTCAGACAAAACTTGTCCACTACATGTTAAATATGTGACGCAACCGCAGAAAAAAAAAACACTCCCAACACACGAAAGGGTGTAACAAGTTAGCTACACCGCTGCCAACATATTCCGGAAGACAAGCGCTTTATGCTTAGAGCAGAGGAGGGAGTCGAATTTCAGCGGAAAGCTGCCTGGTTTAATCTTCCTTGGCAAGGTGATACTATACAACAGGGGTTTGAAAGCCTCAGTCCTAGGAGTCCAGATGCCAAAGTTGTTTCTGCGCCTCCTTAGTTATAAACAGCTCTGTACTAGAAAGAAGTGATTGATCTCTGCATTTAAAGGATCTCACAATATATAAAACACCCAGAAGCCAACAACTCACCACTGGCACTCAACCTGCAGCCTGTGTGGGTCCTAATGACCCAGTATAGTGATGGTGTAAAACCTGAGCTCCTGACTCTCTGTGGTTAGTAAAAATCCCAGGGCATTTTTTCCAAACAGTGAAGGAGTGTTAACCTCAGTGTCCTGGCCAAATTTCCTCCTGACTTGACTTCGTCGCTCTGTTCTCCTCCCCACTGAGAGCTGGTGTGTGGGGAGCAGACTGGTGCATCATCCAGGTGGGGCCGCACACTGGTGGTGGTAGTGGAGGGGAGTCCCCATTACCTGTAAAGCGCTTTGAGTGGAGTGTCCAGAAAAGCACTAAAAAACTGAACTGGCCCAACGTAACAGTTATTTCACACTGGAGTTATACAGCCCTGCTACATTAGCTAAGGTGACACAAGAAAGAAAATTGAGCCTGCTCTTGACGTATCTTATTTGGTGGTGGTGGAGGGGAGACCCCATTACCTGTAAAGCGCTTTGAGTGGAGTGTCCAGAAAAGCGCTATATAAGTGTAAGCAATTATTATTATTATTTTTATTATTATTATTTAAAACCAGTACTATCACATCACACAATGTCCTCGAAAGCGACTTTGCTTTCATTAACTCGAGAGGTTTAACACGGAAATTACGTTGTTTAATCCGAGATGCCAGCAGGAATAGGAAAACTATTTTCACAAGTGAGACACAGCGGTTTGAACTGATGCGTCGAAAGCTCGACAGTCGCACAATCCTGCTAACGTCGATATGTAATATGAAGTTTGGGACCAGATCTCGTGTTAAACAGGTTAGAAAACACGTAGTGGTCCATTCACATTTATACCAGGGAACGTGTTCTGAATGTCGGGAAAAAAATATTTAACCTTATACCTTAAATTTAACCTCAACAATTTCACTTTTGCGGTCTATGTTCCTGAAAAAAAAAAAACCCGCCAAAAACGAATGCCCTCCCCCCAATCCAAAAAAAGGAAGAAAAAAAAAAAACGGACTTGATCCCGACAACTCAAATTTTAAAAACTTTCTCTTACCTGAGACGGAGTAATAAAATCGTCCAGATCTGTCAGCTGCAAAACTCCACTAAAATGAGAAGCCATCTTCCTGCCACGCTGCCGTGCGTTGGTTTGTTATTTTGTAACTTGGAAACACGATACGTACTGTACGTTTCGTGCCGTACTGTCGCAAAATTAACACTTGTACCTCGGATGTCCTTCAGAGGTCGCAGTTTCTTTGGCGTCAAGGTAAGCGGTTCAAGTGGATTAGTCTCTAAAACGGCTGACTATACAAAATATTTTTACGCACGGCTCAGTTTAGAGCGAAATTCGCAGAAACTCTGTACATTATATTTATTATTACATCACTAGAAACGCCTTTAATTAGTTCAAGGGTTCAAAAGCAGGTGGACAGTTCCATTCGAAAAACATTCAAAAAAAACTACTGTGGTTTTAAGGATCCAGAATAACATTGAAACTGGAAATACTTTTACGCAGCCTACACCTAGCAGGACTGCAGAGGCAGGCAGACATTCCCTTTTGTGTATTTGTGTTCATCTTTAATTTTAACGCAAACAAAAAACAAATCGTATAACATACAATATCATTATCAGATTTGCATAATTGACCAACCAAAACACAACGGAGCACAGCGGGTACTTAGCTGTTGTCGTTCGTGAAGCGAGGAGCATAATTGGACAATCATTTTGACTTTTGATCTTTAATATTGAACCATAATGGAACATACAGTGTCAAACTCAAAATAAATCAGAGCTGAGAACTTAACCTGGTTACCTTGTGCCCCTCTTACGATCAAATCAGCCAAGTTACACAGTGGAACAGAAAAAAAGAGACTCAAAATATTCTAAACATAAACCTCCAGTTTATTTCACAGTTATTTATTTGAACTCAGTGATTTTCAGGCTCATAGAATAAATGACTTTGAGTATCATGCCCCTGTTCCAGACTTTTAAACAGTTTTCTAAGTGTGCTACACAAAACATAAATTCTCATCACTAATAGGTTTTATTTTCTGTTACCAGATCCGTGTTACATTTTATAATCAGAAGGAATAGCTCTATTTTACAGTAAGAAAAAACCCTGAGCTGAAGTAAGAGAGATAATGAAAGTACTTTTCTGAGGAAGCTGGAAACAGAAGAGACCCATGCTTTAAATGTTGTTGTTTTTTCCCCTAGAGAACATATTTACTTTTTTAGCAATATCAACTTTTCTAAAAGCAAAGTAAAAAAACTGCAGTGGCAATGCAGTGATTGTAAACTGCATGGAAAACAAAATTCCCGTTGAAGTGCTCAGGAATATTGGATTGTATGCACCCCCCAGCCTATTGACTTCCTTGCACCAGGAGGCTGTAATACAAGGAAACAGAAAATATCCAGGGTTACAGCCCCCTCTTCTCTAGGGAGCTTCTGGGGTTTATAAATCAGGTAAAAGTGCAGTGAGGAATGGAGCCCCCCTCAATCCAATAGGGTTAGTTAATTGGCCTTTCTGATCCGAGTTTAGATCTTATGACAGAGGCTCTGGTTTCAACAACGAAACTCTAGGGTTGTCTTCAATATGTACATTATGTTCTTAATAAAAAAGAAGTGATCTTTTAAACACTCTGTGCCCTCTGCCCCTATTAGGTGTCATGAAGTGCCACTGGGGGCACGTGCACACAGGCAGGAGGGCAGAGTCTCCTCCACCGCTCTCCAGCGCCCCCTGTCCCTCTCAGATGCTGGGCAATGGAACAGGAGCACATGGTCCAGCCAGAACAGTCCGTCTCTACGGCCCGCGGCCCCCACCCACCACCACCACGTCCGGTTCCGGGGACGTCCTGCTGCCCTCAGAGGGGTTTTTGGCCGCCCCTGCTCTTGATGACCTGCTCGAAGTCGGCGGCCAGCTCCCTCAGCTTGTCCATGTGCTCGTTGACGTTCTCCTCCATCCACTCCTCCACGGTGTCGGCGAAGTAGATGGCCTCCATCTGGGTGCGGAAGTTCTGCAGGTAGTCCTCCCACTCCTCGAGCAACCTGCGCCACAAGCACAGAGCCCCCCTGAGCCACGGGCACGTCTGCCCCACTGTACCACCCAGATCCCTCCCGAGACTTCACAGCCACAGATCAGAGCTCTGTTTCCAAATAACAATGAGACTACAGTGCACCTGCATTAAAGAGCAACTGCAACGCAGTTTTTACATTTCAGGGCTAGAAAGAGTCGACACTAAGGGGCGAGAGAACCACTGACAATCAGGTTAAACAGCTCAACCTCAAATCACCAGACACTTGGAACACTATCAGTTTGACCACTGAAGCATGTGATGTGTGCAATTAAGCAGAAGATTTATAAGTACATTACTATTGGCCAGGCTCAAGGACCACAGCTGGACATTCCTGAGGGAAGGAAATCAATTTTCTAACTTGATCACAACTCACATGTTTACCAGGTCTTTCCAAATTGAAAATGTACAGGTGACATATTGCATACAACCTGCTACTGTAGATTGGGCCACTCTTGTTTCCCTGCTGTAACCCTCTTGTCAGACTGCTGAGCAGTTCTCAGGTCACAGTAACAGCTGCTCGAACTGGCCAGTCTTGAGACCTTCTTGACTTACTTGCTCATTTTGTCTTTGAAAAACTCCATGTTCCGAGGATTCCCAAACTTGTACTTCCTGTGGTAGCGGGAGAACCAGCCTTTCAAGTGTCTGTTGGAGAATCAATGAGCACATTCAATTGAAATTAATTCATTTAAAACATTTTAAACCGACGAGTTTAACAGCGGACTTCTGGATGTACAAAATCCATCAGAAAAACAAAATAATCTGTTATTTTAAAGCAGGTTTCTTTAAAACAAAACAAGGTTCACTGTTTGTCCGTCTTAATTCTATCCAATGCTTCAGCCCTTCAATGACAACAGGGGAAATACCCCAAGTAAAATTATTATGCTGGGATTATGACTACTGACTTCCTTACTATAAGATCTTACACAGAGGAAGTCAAGGTGAGTTTATCACTCTCATCACCAGGAGCTGAGCTCTGAGCTCCAGAGGACTGTTTTCAAACTAAAACTGAAACAGCAGCTCACTGGTTGTCAAACTGTTGGTGGATCTGGCTCTTCAGGTTCTCTCTGATGTGCAGGACCATCTGGTACACTTCATAGCCCGGGAACGCCCCACCCCCTTCGCTGCAAATAAAAAAAAAAAAAAATTTTAAGGGTTTTTGGTAACAAACAACCGAATTTCAAACCCCCAATCCGGCAATTTCAAAACGCAACCCCAAAACCCGCAAACCTAAGGGGAAGAAGAAGAAAGTCAAAAAAACCCCCAATCCGCCACCCGCCCTTAAAAAAACAAAAAAAACAAAAGGGAACGGAAGGCCAAGGGGGGCCGGGGGGCCACAAGGGGGCGCTGTGTGTAATCCCACCCCAGCCTAGGCAGAGCTCAGCCAAATCGCGTGCCGCCGCATGGGAGATCCTGGTCACAGTCAACTGGACTCGAACCCGTGACACGTAGTTTAAAGAGCTCAACCTCCGCTCGGACCAGTGCCTTTAATGATTGTGTCACTCAGGAGCCTGGACGGTGTTCATTTTGAAGGGTACAGAGAGGACTCCGATTCACCTTTGGGTGCAGTTTGCCTAGGAAAATCATAGGCTGTCCCTGTCTTGACAAAATCAAATCAGACTCGTGTGTGGGTTTTTTTGGTGCTGCAGAACATTCACATACAGTGATGGCAGAAAGCAGAGGTTCTGCACCTGGAATTCTGGCCATCTGCCATGTCCGGAGTCACCCACAGCTCAGACACAATCTGAAGTCTTGTGTGCTCTGACTCTCTTACATCACCAACAGCACAAGACCTCAGGAAGAGGGTTCTATGACCTCAGATGTGGATCAGTTTAATCCTCCTGCACAGGCCTCAAATGCTGTTTTCAATATCAGTAATTCAACAAAACAGGCTCGACTGTTTGTTTGTCTTCAAGGAGCGGCCTTGAAGAACTCTTATCACAAGATCCGTTCAAAGACAAAACAATTTACTGTCCAAAACGTTTGTTTTTTCTGCAGCTCTTCATAATCCGAGCGCACAATACCATAGACACACTGCCACGTCAACCTCATTGGTATGGACTCCACCTTCCAAAAGCAACTGGTTCTCTCTGAAGAGCTCAGGAGCAGTCTGACACACCTGACAGCAGTATGATGGAGCAGAAATCTCCTTACCAGAGACTCTTCTCCAGGTTGATGTTCTTGCAGCCCAGCATGTGCAGAACTTGCTTCTTCGCCTCCTCATTAAACCCACCTGGAGCACAGTTGGGGGGGAGGGGAAGGACAGATTAAAGGCAGATTTCAACAGCAGATGCACACATTTAACTTAAAGACAGTGTAGAAACTACCAACAGTGAGAAAAATAGTGGTCACAGAATGGTTACAAGCCATAATGTCTTAATATTGTAATTATTAACAATTCTGAAGTGGTCTGGACTTTGTATTAAGTGCCCTTCTTAGGATCTCAAAACCCAATAAAATCTGATGGTACATATTTCAGCACCACAGCTGGGAACCCGGCTGCAGGTATTCTGTATTAGATATTTCCTCTGGTTAACACTACACAACAAATTCAGTACACTGACGTCACTCCCAGAATCCCCCTCTCTCCCCCAGGCTGACCGTGTGCCAGGCTCTGAAGACACACTGCCAGGGATGGGATGCCCACAGGAAAGAGCTCACACAGCACGGTGAAGTGGTCGTACCTGTAACACACAGCAAAGGCAGCTCAGCGTCTTCAAATCAGGCCAGTGTTTATCTTCTGCTTGTTATAAAAAACAAACAGAAATTCCTCTTAAGAGGGCCTGCAGTCTCCCAAAAAATGTAATAAGTCTCACGTAGGTCAGTGTTTACCATCTGGGTGCTACAGAGAACATGATCATTGCCCACAATTACATTTTCTTTTCTGATTCTCACTGGGTAACAGGACTGGAGGCCCATTAAGGCGTAAAATCACAGGAATGCAACAAGTTAGTTGTGATTTTATTGCACATCACCAATCCCTGAAGCAAAGGTTCTTCAGTAACACATGCACCTGTATAAATTAGTGCAAATGTGAGGCACATTGGATAAATTCCTGAACAGATAAATGAATAGTGGAACAATAAAATTACATTCACCTCAACCACACTTGTACCTGAAAAAGTTGAACATTGTGGCGTTAATTTTCAAGGTCTGGCTCAAATGAGCCTGATTCCAGTCACATGCTTTTGGTTCTGGAACAATATACCATATTTACTGGTATATAAGACACATTCTCACACCTCAAAAAGGCTTTATAACATCACCCTGCATCTCATATCCCAGAGTTATAGGGTGAGGTATGCCGAGGTGCTGAGTGTATGAATCCATAATCAGTAGTAAAGGTTACCCTGGTCATACCACAGCGAATAAACTCTTATACTCTATTTAAAAATCATTTTTGTGTGTACAAAAGTAATAATAAAGATGAAAGATGTGTGGAGGACTTTTCTATATTTGAAGACAAGTAAAACTTTTATATTGTTTTCCATGCTGGTAGGAACATACACATAGCGTATCTTCATTTCATGAAACACTGAAGTTTTCTTTTATAAGGCTAAGTGTGAAATGTGGTAATGACAATACACACCTTTTCTTTTCTGTCACTGTAGTATTAAATATATAAAGTACTATATATTCACCAAAATATTTCTAACACTTTCTATAACCATGGTGCGTCTTATACACTAGTAGGTATTATACACCAGCAAATACAGTATCTTGTAAGGACCTATCAAACATGTCTAGCAAGTGTCCCACAGTCCCTGGCACCCAGCTCCACAGCCACACCCCTCTCATACCGCTGCCAGCCTGTCAGCGCGATGCCCTGGAAGTGGATGGACGGGTACTTGGGCATGACAGCCATGACCTTCAGCCATGACAGGTGGTTCTTCATGTGTTGGGTCAGGGGGGTCCAGTCCTGTGCCACCCCTGATGCGCCTTTGAATGCACTGGCAAACCACACACCCTCGAACCCTGCCGCCTGGTAGTTCGAGATGAACTTTTCTGAAAAAGAGGCACAGGTGTGATTCGATTGGCTTCAACCACCCTTCACACTTACATGCACGTTTTCAACATGTTTATGCAGTGCAGAGTTTACACGTTATTAAAATTGCTGTTACTGGCGAAGTCTGAAGGTTTTTTCCCCCTGTTCTTTATAAGTGGACACTCTCTGTACAGGAAGTACACTAGCAAACTGCAGGTCAGCAGTCAGTCTGCAAGGTCAGACGTCAATGCCTTACGCTCACATTTCTTACCAATCTGGTTTATCTGCAAATCTGCACCGTAATCCCAGATCATTGGAGAGACAAAGCTGGTCAGACTGGATGCTGGGAAAACAGGAAACTCAGAATGAATCTCTTACAATAAGAATAACAATCACATCTGTAACTCAGAGCTAACACTACACATACACAGCCCCCAAAACTTCAGAGCGTCCGGTATTTGCATTGTATTTCCCTGCTGCTGATGTGCCTGTACAGAATCAGCTGACATAGGTGTATCAGGCTTCTCCTTGAAGGAGATCAATCCGCAGATAAAGAGGAATCTACACAAATATGCCCGCAGTATAAAGAGCATGAGAGAATCAGTTTCAGGTTTCACTAACGCAGCCCGCCTCTCTCTCAAGTTCACCTGGTCTGCACTATTGCCCAACAAGTGCAAGCATCTGGTCAACTTCCCTGTGAAATATTCCGAAAACCTGGAGAACCCTAAGGGGAAACCAGGATCAGAGCTGCAGAGGACCTTTGAGAGTGTCCACACTGATGTGTCTCATCATGTCGTCCCACATGAGCAGCCGGAGGCCGGGGTGTCTCTCCGTGGCGAAGTGCACGATCTCCCTCACGTGGTTCAGGAACATCCTTCCCATATCCCCGTTGTTGCTGTTCAGCCAGTTTTTGGAGTCCAATCCTTGTCCCAGACCAAAGACCTGTCAAGTCCAAGATGGATTTTATCGTTCAAAAAAACTAGGTGGAAGAGCACCTGCCATCCCAAGCTACAATGGCCAACAGCTGATCAAGTCAGTGTTTTAAACTGATAAAACTGCAAGTTCACACTTATCCCAATCAACCACAGTAACCCCAGCCACACAGATCAGCCCAAGCCCAAGTTCAGACAATGCTGCAACACTACGCCAGGAATCCAAACTACATTAAGTAATGGTAGCGGTGGCACTGTGGCTAAGGATCTGTGCCTGTGGCCAGACGGTTGCCGGTTCAAATCCCACGGCCAGCAGAGGAATTCATATCCTTGGCCCTTAACTCCAACTGCTCCAGGGGTGCTGTACAATGGCTGACACTGCGCTCTGACCTCAAGCTTCTCTCTCCCTGTCCGTGTGTCTCAAGGAGAGCAAGCTGGGGTATACGAAAAGACAAATTCCTAATGCAAGAAATTGTATATGGCTAATAAAATGATCTTATCTCTTATTAGGCCAATGCCCTAGACCAGACTATTAGGTAATGGGGGGTGGCACTGTGAGAAAGCCGCCATCTTGGCTCCAAGCCACACCACACAGCCACCATCTTGGCTCAACTTAGGCTTTCTCACAAGGCCTCCTCACACAGACCCGATCCATATACTTTATATCACAGCACAACATTCCCAGGAGCTTGGAATCCACCCTCCCAGTTTTCCCATTACCTATAATGAAGTGGCTTTTAATCAACAATGGTGTCTCTCTAATGCACATAGATTTTAACGAAAGAGAACAAGAATCGAAGCTGCAGATCACATGTACTCTACACGTCCTGGACTATTCTCTTTGGGTTGGCCCATTTCCCCTAACCCACCTCATCAGCACCGATGTGCAGCCACCGCAGCCCAGGATGGCGGTCCAGAACCTGCGACAGCATGGCCTGGACCAGCGGCTGCGAGCCAGGGGCGTGGGGGTTCAAGCTGTTGGGGAACCCTGGCACCTCCCTCAGGTTCGAGAACTTCTCGTGCTTCAGAGCAAACTGTGCAGACAAGATCAGAGACACTTCTGAAGCAGGCCCACAGCTCGCTTGAGCCTGGGGAGAAGCAGTTTACATCTCCCAAATACCTGATGGTGGCACACCAGGAAATCACTAAAATGATCAAGATGCCAAAAAGTCTCTGAAATGGGACATGTATATATCTCACTTATCCAGCATCACAATATCATCACAAGCACATTGTGAGAGGTGTTGCTGGGGTCTGTTAATTAAGCCTTCAACAAGAGTTACTCTAAGATGCCATAATGCGGACTTGCTTTAGCAACCCCAGTGACTTAATGCTACATACATAAACGACAGGAACAACACCCACAAACAGGATAAAGCAGATCAATGTCTCCTGCATATCGAAGGACAGAACTAAGAGCAAGACAGAGCAGGACAATATGTAATTACATATCAAAGAACAAGACAAGCACTCAGATTGTGAAACAAACTTCTTTCTGACTGTATATAAGAGCTGGAAAAACCCTTGCAGTGTGTCTGTTCTGTGGGGCAGACCCAGCGTGCATTGTGTACTTATTGACAGTCTTGTGCAAACAGAATCTGCACAAGACTGTGTCCTGCTCCTCCTCTGCTCCTCTGATGAAGAATTTCCCACAGCAGTCTTCATATACACTGCATTCAGTTCACTGCAATCAGATTCCTGGGTAGAAATATGGTTTTATGTTCCTGCATGTGATCGTATGCATTATTTGCATGCCTGAGCTTTAAACACAAGCTCTAGAAAACAGTTGTCTAACTGCCCAGCTCTGCAGTCTGTCCCACTACTGGATTTTGACACAACCAGGGCGTTTTCTTCACTCAATCACGTGTTTAGAGCTGCACTGGGACAGAAAGTGGGGAAGTTCAGATGCCCTGTTTTAGAGATGTGTCCTATCGCATGACTCTCTGGGTCAATGTATCTCCCTCACCTCCAGGTGTCCAAACACTTGAACCAGGGGAATGATCTCCAGCTTACTGAGCTCTGCCAGGTGCCTGATCTTCTGAATGTCCTCCACACTACAGCAATGAGAGAACAATAGGACAGTTACCCTGTGGGAACACCTGAGCTTCCTGTAACAGAAGAAGCTACACAGAGAAATATAGAAGTAACTCCATGGGCCACTCTCTCAAGCACAGCTCTCTGATTTGCAAAGCTTAAAGCCTAATTTTAACATGCAGCTGATCCAAAGAGTTCTCAATGCATGGAGCAAGCTGATGGGAACCATGAGTATCATGCAACTCTAAAGCCCAGTGAAATGAATTAGAAACCGAAAGATGTTTTGCAGATAATTGAGACTGAACATGTTCTTGGCAGTGAGTTGTGTGCAGTTTCCTGTACCCAGCTGCCCAGCAGCACTCACCTATAGGCATGGGGCGATCTGAGGATCTGAAGGTCACCCTCATACGGAAACATATCCTCATATTCCAGCAAAATCCCATTGGCCCCAAGAGAAGACAGCAATGGGAATACCTGGGAGAAAACATGACAATAAGACTATAAGCATATGTGGTTTCAAGCTCTAAGAAGCAAATTCGGATCTGCTGGAGCAGTCCAAAACTGCAGGTACACTTGAACAAGACCTGCTCCCAGCAGGGCTGTAGGTGCAGCCTTTATGCATCACAGTCTCCTTCTGCTGAAATGCTTTCCTGCATTTCTTTTTTTCCAGCAATGTGTTTTTAGCCAGCTATACAGCTACAGTTGGGAATAATAAGCAGGTTTTGACCATCTTACAGCTATAAAGCCATATGTGGCTCTTTGTTTTAAGTGAGTCTGAATGCCGCCACAGTACCATAAACTCTTCATTAAGAAGACTTACTCTAACCCAAAGCATTGAGGTCACCATACACCCCTCCAGCCCTGCTCACCTGCTCCAAATAGGTGAGTTTAGGAGCAGCACCTTTGAGATCAAAGTGCACAACCCTCAGTGGAGTCTGGTTAGTGTCTTGCCGAGGGGTGACTTTGGGTTTTTTCGGGGAGTCCTGTGCCTCTCCTCCCTGAGACTTCTGAGGCTCCTGTGACTGGGATGTCTGCTGACGAGCCCACACCAGAGCCTCCTTCTTCTGCGGAGTCTGCTTTTCGTTCAAGACCGCCCCTCCGCCAATCTCTCTGTGCCCCCAGAACACAGCAGGGTCAGGCACAGGCAGCTTAGAGCTTGAACACAAACACACGACAAGAGAGCGACAGAGCAGAGACAGAGCTCTGGTCAAGAGACGGGCTGATTGTTGTGGCAATCTGCATCTGTACTACAATTAAGCCGCTTAAGTGAAATATTGTCTTGGCAAACTGATGTGTTTTGGAATGTGAAAGGAAAACAGAGGAAACCCATACGAACACAGGAAGAACATGCAAACTCCACACAGATATTGCCCCAGGAATTGTACCCAGGGCCCCAGAGCTGTGAGGCACCAATGCTATTCACTGGCCCACTGAGCTGCCTCAGGTTACACTAGTACCTAGAAATTCCAATTGAGGCACTAAACTGAGATGAAGGTAGTAGAACAAGAAAAACAAGCCCAAGAATGTTAACACAAAACCAAAAAAAACCACTCAAGCAGGCAGCATGCAGAAAGGAAAAACATGACTGTTCTTTTCCTGCTACAGACGTCTTGATCCAATGGTACCATAGGGCTTTTGTTTCATGTGTCAATAGAATAGATATGATAACATGCAACTAAAATAAAATACAAATTCATCAACAAAATACACAGTTCACACCACTTGCTTACTTTACACAAAATCAGACGCAACCTGTAAACGCCCACTGAAGCGATTACATAAAGAATGCAGACAGTGTTAGAGCCTGTTTTTGCTCTACAGATCATTCTTTATGAAAAGGACCTCTCTATGATTGACAGTACCATACCAACACTGCCCAGAACCACTGGATTTCGAAACTGCCACTGGCTGTAAACTTAAGATGCAAATCCTACATCTCCTGACCGACTTTTACATTAGGCTGCAGCTTTAGCACAGTAGTGGTGAGATTTAGCTGGAACGTCTAGATTATGTTCATGGGATAAAGAAATAAGAGTGAGCTCCAGGGAAGAAGTGAAAATTAGAACAAATGTTAAGCGCATCACACAAACATATTGGGACTTTCTTGTTGGATGCCTGGTCATTCCCATTGGGAATGTAATATTCAAGGTCAGGAGTGAACTAATACCCAAAGAGCAGCTCTGCCTCTCTGCTGTTTAACACCCCACACCAGGCTGCCCTGTCTGTCTCTCAAAGGAATCCTACTCACTTGGACCTCAGGAGGAACCTAACGGCAGTCAGGACCACGACAGACAGCACCACCAGTCTCAAGACCGCCGGCTTCCTCATGAAGTGGGTGTTCATTTCTGCAGCTCAGTGCTAAAACGTAGACAACAAGGACAACGCATTAACAGCACGGTGCTCTATCAGAAGAGAGAGGCAAAGAAGAGACCGACTGAGCCATTCTTCCTCACAACAAAAAATGTCTAAATTCGACAGAGGAGGGATGGGCAGTTCTGGTCTGCAGGGTTTAATTCTGACTCATCTCTTCACAAGCTCATTATTGGCTATGGGACCAGTTGAACAGCTTCTCCCAGCTGTTTCTCAGTGCGCCTGCTTTAAATTTCAATTAGAATTAGCAAACCTGTAGGCACACTGACCCTCCAGGGCTAGGACTGTTCACCCCTGCTATGGATTTCCAAAAAGCACAGTAAATCATCACCCAGGCACTTACCTACTGACACTCCATCAAGCAAAATGCTCCTAGTAAGTAAATATACTTGAGTAAATATGCCTTGGTAAAGCACTGATAAGCTCTTAACAGGGACAGGCATTGGCTGCTGTTGTGCGCTGAATTCTGGATGACCTACGTCCTGTACGCCCAGGACATACCATATCGACAAGAGGTGGATTCCATAAGATCAAGTAAAGGTTTAGGCAAAACCTTGTTAAATGTTAAGCAACTTGTGAATGATAGGACTTCAGCTGCGTTGCAACATAAAAACCTCTTTGACATTTACTCTTAATAGTCCCCGAAGGACAAAAAGTTATTTGCAGTCATTAATCGCTATCAAAAGCTTAGTGGAAAGTTCAATTAAGGCGCTCAAAATGGGCTGAAGAAATGATTTTCTCCTGCAGAATACCCAAATTACAAGGGACAGGGGCGATGCAAATCTTGAGATTTTACAATAGTCTCTACAGGCAACCACTGCTCCCTGAAAAAACAGAGGGCAAAGGTTAAGCACAACCTGTAGCTACATAAATATTTGCCTTAACGTCATTTAAAATCACGGTGTGTAGAAAACTACTATAACAATGGTGCAGTGAGTTTAAGTAATATTCTGTGGAGCAGATTTAGTGTACACAAACGTTGTTTTCCATCCACCCTGTGTGTCAACAACACTCCCACGGGCAACTGCAGCGCTACAGGTACTGTGATTTGGTTTACCATTAAAATAACACTAAAATAAAACCCCGACCCTTCCTTCCTTAACCACGGTAAAACTATCCCTCCACAAATGAATAACGATGCAGGGTCTGATCAAATTCACGTACCGAAATTGTTTTTTGTTTTTGTTTTACTAAACGCAATGGTGCTTTAGAAATATATATTGTAACGCACTTACACAGTGCCTGTCGGCCGTAAGCGTTACAATATATACAGTATAATGTGCAGTACACATCGTATTCAATAGTCGATGAGCGCTGCTCGGTTGCTATTTAGCGCAGTAAGAAAACAGGCCCCTTGCAAGAATAAAACGAGAAAAATGCACCTGCTGCATGTTAGGCTGGTGCCATCTAACATACCAGGCTGAATCAGTATATTACACCTTACTTCGCTCTGGATAATAATTGTATAGCAGGAACTTCAGCACAGTACGTACCTTACCTAAGAGATACAGGCGATCTTACCGTCACCCCTCTGCGTGCTGCGGTGAAATTTAACCAAAAAAACAATTCTAATGGCAAATGATTTTCAGAAATAAATGCACAAGGTCAGGGAGTAACATAAGAAGCGCTTTCTCGTTTCGTTACTTCCGTATGTTTCGTTATCAGTAGTTAGGCTCAGAGTCAGTGTGATCGCTACAGTATGTCGTTAATTATACATTTCCCCACGGTGCGCTGTCACACTTGCTGACTGCGCGCAGCACTACACAGTATTAGTAAAAACTAGTTTGGCACATTATTTTGATGTTGGCTCGTTTTAAACTACGTTTTAAACCACCAAGGAACGATTTCAGGTTGAGGATCCAAAAATAGTTAACCGTCAAGTCCAAAAACGGACATGACAAATAAATATATTAAGGTCAGATTATTATTTTTTTACCATTTCTTTCACAAAATAATTTCCCTCTGGTCGTAGGCGAAATCAATTGTTAACAAAATACAGAACATTTGAAACAGATCTTTCAACTGAAATACATTTTTATGAAATTTCCCTGCAAGTAAAAAATAGTATACTGTGGTTTTGATTTGAATTGCTTTATCCGTTTTATATATGTATTTATTTGTCTACATTAGCCATCCCTTAGAGCGTAATTAGAATATTTAGTATATGGACCATAGTGGTCGGAACTTACAGTCTAAATCCTTGTTGCAGTGGGGAACATTACAGAGAGAGGAATTCAAAACAACTGGGGTTGGTGTTAAGTGGGTTTTGCTTTACAAAATAAATATCTATATTACTAGTGTTATTTGGGAGTCGGCATATCTGTGTAAGTGTTATATACTTTTAATTCTACAAAGTTTTAAATTGTTTTAGTTCTTTTAAGTGTTTTAAAGCATCATAATTGTGTATCGTAGACTGTATGCTACTGCTACTGTATTTGTTTATAGAGTAGGTGGATCTTCCATAAATGTTTTGTGTATAAATAAATCAGATTGTTTTTTTATAACGATTGTTATTTTATTAGGAATAGGCTACTAACAAAAATAATATTTGTACTGATCCATGAAGGGTGAAGAGCTCCGGTCTTATTGGAACATGAATGTAAACCAAGGTACCGTCGGCAGCGACCCGGTTATCCTGGCCACAGCCGGCTACGACCACACGGTGCGGTTCTGGCAGGCCCACAGCGGCATCTGTACACGAACCGTCCAGCACCAGGACTCGGTATCCTTAATTAGGCACCGGATGGGGCAGCTTGTAACGTCTGCTATACAAGCTGAATGTCTTGAGTAGAGTTGAGCACAGCGTTAAGACCAGTACTTCCCTCTGCGGCTAATGCCCAGTCTCTGATCAAAGACGGAAGATAAATTAAGAAATACTGGATTAGATTAGATCTCTTAATTTAATTTTTAATGTTGTATCTGGCTATGATTTGGCTTGAGCACCTTATCAGATATTTCTGAACATTGATGCCATCAAACAGTGGCAGAGAGTAACTTAGTAGCTCCAGTGTCTTGAGTTCCAATCCCTTTCTGTCTGTGTGGCGTTTGCATGGTCCCATGTCTTTGTGGGTTTACTCGTGGTGCTCCTATTAACTGCTCTGGCAGTCCAAGGAATCAGGACTACACCCTGTGCCTGTAGGTGTAGGCACACTGCGGTCCTCTGAGGATAAAGCACTCATTGAAAATGCATGTGCGAATGGATGGACAGCACAGTCCACTTCTGTACAGCTGCTCATCAACAGTAATGTGCCGTTGATGGCGTCTAATCAATCTACAGGTAGTGATCATGTGTAAAATGTGCTCTGCTTAATGATTAGTAGGGCACAGGGGGCTGCCTAATTATTTTTGTTCTGGTTCCTGAACCTGGCTGCTCAGCAGGTGAATGCCCTGGAGGTGACCCCTGAACGCAGCATGATTGCTGCAGCAGGTGAGTACCTTACCCTCTTGTGTCTAATCAATACCAGAACCCCAATCTGCAGTTTTCTGCAGGACCCCTGATGGCCAGGTTCCATGGCGTGGCAGGATAGACTGTTCCCAGCTCTTAATGCAATAAAGTATCTCTTTTCATTCCTGCTACCATTTCCATTCTAATTCCATTATTGAGCCTAATGAAGTCCCATGGGCAAAGTTGGCGGTATCATCAACTCTCCTCCATGCTCATGACACATCTCCTGTGTCTGTCCACTTTTGTGAACACAGATGTGCCTAATTCCAGAGTTTTTGAATTTTATTAGACCAGTAGTTCTCAAAACCTTTTGGACCAAGTACCACCCCTGATCAAACCAAACCATCCAAGTACCACCTACAAGTCATCTTCTCATAGGAACCCCAGAAATTCTCAATGACCAACATGAGCGTGCGTGCACGCACACACTCACATACACATATAATAAATATAATAATAATAATAAACTTTATTTGTTATAGCGCTTTTAAAGGTGGCTTCTCAAAGCGCTTTACAGAAAAAAAAAAAAACAGGAACAAGAACAATTAAAAATAAAAAAAAATAAAAAAGCACCATTTCAGTGAGAGGGGTGAGCCTGTTTAGTCGAGAAAAGCGGATGTGAAGTCATTTTTCGAGCCTTGATACAATTCACAACAGAGTCTAACAGATTTTAAATCGTTAGGCATTTTCTTGACAGCAAAGGTCTAGCAGTGGGTGTTGCAAATTCATTTCTGGAGCAACCTCTCTAATTCGTGCAATTACACCGCTGTGTCGGCTTGTCATCGCTCTAGCACCGTCTGTACAAACTCTGACACATTTTATCCAGTCGATGCCATTCTCTTCGATAAATTCATTCAGAAGCTGAGATATGCGCTCTCCTGTAGTTCCTGTTGGTAGCGGCTTACAGAACAGAAAGTCCTCATGCGACGTAAACAAGCAAATTGGCCAAATCGACAACATTTAAAGACTCATCTAATTGCAGTGCTGCTCATCTTAACGCGCTCCATCAGCGCACTTTTGATATCATCCTCCATGTCAATAATTCTATTAAGTGGCTGTGAGGGGGCAGCAGGTCGAGCTGTTTAGCAGCTTTTTCTCCACACATAATACGTGTCAGCTCTTTTGCCAGCGGTAAATAATGTTCTTCAAAAATAGTGTGGGGCTTACCTGCTTTAGCTATCCGGAAGCTTGTATTTTTCCCCGTTGCTGTTTCAGGAGTCCGTATCATGTGCATGGGAGCAAAACACGGAGACGCTCTGTTTATTTTTCTCAAATTAACCTAGAACAGTTCTTAAATATTTTTTCTGTTGTCTATCATGTCTTTCCTGCGCTCAAAAGATTGCCAGCATTCATAGCACACATTTCTCTCTATTCCTGTGCTTACAACATTGGCATTGTTCCAAAAGCGCAAAACCACACATTCTCCTGCCTCCCTATTTGCTGGAGATAACTTTTTAGAAATACAATTGGTCACTTTTTTTTTCGTATCACGCATTTCTATGATAAGCAGGGTTTTTGTAGTACACACACAAAGGTATCATTGTTTCAGCTAGCAGAAAGGAGTGCACTCTGTCTCAAAAATACACAGGGAAAACAGTCTCATCCCATTGTGGGAGATGGGACTGATAATGGGGAAATGCAGTAGAACAATATTACATCATTCAGGAAGAATCTGGGCAAGTGAAGTACAAGAGGAGACTTAGACAAGCTTGCAAAGTCTGTATCACAGAAGACATGGAAGAGGTATATATTGGATTCACGAGGAATAGAAATAGACTGAGAAGAGAATACCATTCACAAAACACAATCTTTTCTCAAAAACACAGTAGTGATCAATATCCCAGAGAGCAGCACTTTCCTGAAGGAGGCAGTGCATTTTGTGTTGTACTGTGGGGTAGTCCTGTGGTTCATTATTGAACGATGGATCTCCCAGTAAACCACATGGGCCACAAAGCCTCATCTTATTTGTAACCTGGCGTATGTTCTTATCCCAGTCTGCACTGGCTTACCTGCGCTGCTCTGTGGGTCTGTGTCTTCACAATCGCCTCTGCTTGGCAGGCTACCAGCACATTCGCATGTACGACCTGAACTCCAATAACCCAAACCCCGTGATTAACTACGATGGTGTCAGTAAGAACATCACCTCGGTGGGCTTCCATGAAGATGGGCGCTGGATGTACACAGGGGGGGAGGACTGCATGGCACGCATCTGGGACTTAAGGTAGGTGTGGGACCATGTGGGACTTAATGCTTGGGGAGGTTTGTCCAGTCCCTAACTGTAACGTATATCGACTGTGATGAAGAATTAAAACTTCCGTTTTCATTGGGACCCTTCACCCTACTACAGCAGGCTTTTATTTCGTCTGGTGCTGTGAAACATCGCACTGTAGGCCAGGGCAAGTTCCCATTGAATTCATCATTAATGCGGTTACATTAAAGTGCAGAATGTTTTTCACTCTGTGCTGATTTTTTTCTGTCCCCTCAGGAAATTTCATTTATCGGAAAGATATTTTAAAAACTTTACCAGGCATCAGAGTTTTTATGTCAATATATCAAATGAATAGGCTTTTCTTACTTCTGTATGGACAGAAAAGCTGTGCGTTTGTATGTGCAATGCATATCTGTGCATCCTTTTTTGAAAAATGTGTGTTTCATTAGGTCACGTAACCTGCAGTGCCAAAGAATTTTCCAGGTCAATGCTCCGATTAACTGTGTCTGCCTGCACCCTAATCAGGTAAGCTACCCACCTTTGCTGTGCTAGGCCATCGTCACTGGAATAAACAGTCACTGGAACTAGAGAACAGATAAAGACTCCCATTGCACATCAGTTTGATCCATTCCAGGTTTTACCAGCTACCACCTCATGTATTGAAGGCAACACAAGGTGATGAATATTTCAGTAAAATGTACACCAGTGCAGTGGGAGGTTTTACTAGGATTAAATGCACTAAATTCCTGGTTCCTGGGAGTTTTGCTGGTTTCTAAGGACCCTGTATTGGGACACAATTAGCAGAGGAGTGCGAGTGTGTGCATCTTTGAACTTCAGTACTCCATATTGGAAAACCCATTTTATGATGGTTTTTGAGTGCAAAGCAGTTACTTAAGTCTGAAATGACAAGGAAGCAGAAAAAATAAAAAATAAAAAGGTAAAACCAGTGATAAATATGTGGAATATTTTTTACGTAGATGTGTAGCAGGAATCCAAGGTACTGTCATGTCAGCCAGTCTGAACTTCCTGTGTACACTTATTAACACTAGAGGGCGCCGTTGGGTTAAATGTTGTCATCTCATGGGCTTACAGGCAGAACTCATAGTTGGAGACCAGAGCGGAGTGATCCACATCTGGGATCTGAAAACGGACCAAAACGAGCAGCTTATCCCGGAGCCCGAAGTGTCGGTCAACTCCGTCCACATCGATCCCGATGCCAGCTACATGGCAGCAGTCAACAGCTCGGTGAGTGCCCTGGCCAGCTCTGCCCGCGCAGCTGTGTGATCTCCAGAGCAGGGGACACTGTCGGGACATCTGCCGTTCCACTCTCCACAGACAGACTGTCTTGGTCTCTCTGGAGCAGTCAGTTACCTGGAGTCACACCTCTGTAATCAGGTCTTTGTGCCTCGAGTAAATCTCCCAGAATTAAGCAATATGAGAAATAGCGGGCTGCATGGTGGTGCAGATGTTAGTGTTGCTGTTCTGGGTAGAATTCTGGACCTGGAGTTTGTATGTTCTCCCCGTGTTCGTGTGCTGTTCCTCCAGGTGCTCCACTTTCCTCCCAAAGATATGCTGGCAGGTGAATTGGCTTCTGCAGAAATTGGCCCTGGTGTGTGTGTGTGTGCTCTGCTATGGGCTAGAGTGTATCCTAGCTTCTCTGGTTCCCCTGCAACCCTGAATCAGATGAAGTGGTTAGAAGATGGGTGAATTACGAGAAATAATTGTGGGGGGATAACTCCATAAAATACAATTATCCAAAGGAAACTTCTCTGATTCCCAGCAGTAAGTGTTTCCTTGGTGATGGAAGCTGGAGGAGCACACATGCAGTGAGATTGTCAGTACTGAGGCTGCAGGGGGTTTAATACATGCTATAGGATGTAATCTCTTTCTGTGTCTCCCTCACATATTACTTGTCTTCAGTTCAGTTTATTTTGTCATATGCACGAGTGCAATGAAATGCTTATTTGCACGTATGCCCCGATACAATAGCAGCAGCAACAACAACAAAGTTCAATAACGCACACCTTAAATACAAGTCAGCACAAGTAGTGTAAAAAAAAAGCCATCGGTGTGAGTCAGTGGTAGAGGCAGGATTTAATAATCCGACAGTTTGCGGGAAGAAACTGTCTCCGGATCTGGGGGTACGTGCCTTTATGCTCCTATAATGCTTACCAGTGGGAAGGGGAAAGAAAAGTGAGCAACCAGGATGATTGCTATCCTTAGCAATACCTCCAGCCTTCCTGAGACCAGCTGTACAAATATCCCCAACAGAGGGGAGCTGTACTCCTGTAATGGACTGGGCCGACCTGATCACCCCCTGTAATGCCTGCCCTTGTCTCTTCTCCCACTTTAGCTCTGCATGGCTGCTGTTTTATTCCGTGTGTGCAGTCAGCCGTTCTTTGTTAATCTCCCTCTTTCCCCCAGGGAAACTGCTACGTGTGGAACCTGACGGGGGGCATCGGAGAGGAGGCTACGCAGCTCATTCCCAAGACCAAGATCCCGGCCCACAAGCGCTACTCCCTGCGGTGCAAGTTCAGCCCTGACTCCACGTGAGTCACCCGGGGGTGCCCGGTCAGAGACGCCCTGCCCCGTGTGTGTGGGAACCAGCCTAGCTCTGCCTGTGGGCAAAGGCCCGTGGTTTTGATGAGGACGTTAAAGTCACATTAACTTTGATGTGTCCGAATAAACACCTGAAATTGGGTATCTTTGTAGAGGGTGCAAGTGTAAAAGTGTAATGATAATGAGATGGGTGTTTCCTTATAATTCAGGGCATCAGGGAAAACTAAGTGCTTGCTGGTGTCAAAAAAGTGATGCCTTTGGCAGAGCTACAATAGACAGGAGTCAGACGTTTCATGCACATTGCTGACAGATGAGGGAACTGTAATAGAACACTGTGAGTGCCCGTGATGTAATGTGTGTCCATTGCGCTGTGATCCACAGGCTGCTAGCCACCTGCTCTGCAGACCAGACCTGTAAGATCTGGAGGACCTCCAACTTCTCTCTGATGACAGAGCTCAGCATCAAGAGCAACAACCCTGGAGAGACATCCCGGGGCTGGATGTGGGACTGCGCCTTCTCTGGAGACTCCCAGTACATTGTCACAGGTGAGACGCTCAGTATTCCACTGTCCCCACTGCACAGCACACAGATCACTATAGCTGTTATTGCACCAGCAAGGCATTGCCTGTGGATTGTGTTCGTAAACGCACTGAAGTTGTATTACCTCTCAGAGGTCATAAACTTGCTCCATCTGTTGTTAGTTTAGTGCATACTGAGGTATTCTAAAATGATTCCTTCAGGTGGTCTTTTCTATAGATGTGGTTGTGTTTATGATGACTTTTTACCAAGATAGTGAACAGGTCTATTACTATCAGATCATTTTGACATCTTTTAAATAATATTCTTGATCGCCCTGAGCAAACTTTTTCCAAGATGACAGATGTACAGTGTTTGATGTCTCCAATAATATATACTGATGGAAAAAAGAAACGTAACACCTCCTGCTCCACACTCTGGCCCTCCTGTCTGTGTGGAACAGGCTGAAGAGTGACTCATCTGGGAAGAGGACCTGATGCCACTGCTGAGTCCATCGCAGCCTCTGTCTGGCCCAAGCCAGTCGGGTGTGACGTCTAGGAGGTGTGAGCAGAGGGCCTCTGACAGGTCTCCCTGCTCTAAGGCCAGCAGCATGGAGCCTCACTGTCCTGTCACTGATGCGGGCATTGTGTCTGCTGGCAGTTTCAGCAGCAGTACGGGTGGCAGATCTGAAACGATCTCTCAGATGGACCAGTCTGATGTGTCGGTCCTGC